ATTTGGCAGGGTGGGGGGGGGGGGGGGGGGGGGGGGAACCATTATTACCTTCAAAATTGAGCGACAAACACCCATGAATTTGTAGAACAATAATCAAGAGAGGGATACATGATAACTGCATTCCATAAGTGGTCCAGCTAACCCTCATAGCTTGTCGAAAAATAAGTCGCACCAGTTGAGGCAATTACAGTTTCTACCAACAGCTAGAATTCTTTACAATGCGATAAACAAAATCGTCAGCTTCCTGGAGCAAAATTAACCTTCGAGCAATTATAAATTACTAGGAAACAAAACCAATCAGGCAACCAGACAACAAAATTTTAATCTTACAAAAGCAAGATAATCATATGGCACAAACTCATCGCTAGGCCTAATCTATATAGCGAAGAAAAGAATCTATATCAACACTCTTGAACATATTGACAGAATCGAGGTCTCTCATTCTCAATAATATTTAAATTTAGGAATATAACAGCTCTGGTTTCACCAACAATTGCATAACCTGGCTCGGCGAATTATCCCCAAGATTCAAATTTTAGCTGAAATGCAGAAAAAGTACCAAAGTTAACAATTATGATTCCTCTAAATGACAAAAAAACCAGCGCAATCCACAAGCCAAAACAGAATCATAACAAAAAGAATAACCATAGGAACAAGCGACATATAGAAAAAGCGAAAGGATATAATATCTAAAAAATCACCATTTGAAGGACGCATAAAATGGAAGTCGATGATGGCAAAAATAAATTCTTTAGCGATTTGAAATCCTTTTCCAAAACAATGTAGAGGACAGAAAAGGTGGCCGATGAATCTTGTAGTTGACACTCAAATATGGCAGCTTGAAAGAAAAAATAGATGTGAAATAATTAATAAAAATGAAATTTTCGGGTTTGTTTGTGACTTTTTTAAATTTTTTTTCTTCACTGCCCTTTTCAGGATGATCTCAGAGGAGGAAACTCTCTTCGACCATCTTTTCTCTGAAAGAAGGGAAAAGGAAAAACATTTCTCTCTCCAAAACACATTGCTTCTTTAACTTTCCCTTACACCCCTCAAACTGCAGGCACCCACAACAAACGAAAATTGAAATAGAAAATTCTCTCGTTTTCCCCAAGTTCTTTTTATGTATTCAGTCATGCCGTTATAACCCCGATTGAGAACGTGAAAGGTTCTTTCTAGCTAGGTAACAATTTTCTATTATCCAGATTTTTTCTAGAAGAATTCATTTTTAATGTGAAATAAGGCCCTATTTGAACTACATTATTTGAAAAAAAAAAATTAAGAGGAAATTACATAGAACTAGACATTTAAAAGTTCAAATTCAAAATTCAGGGATGAAATTTATCTATGCAAACATCAAGTATTATATATAGTTGATTCAATCAATTCAATTAAAAATCCTAATCAATTCCCCAATTCAATCCCGTCACTTCCTTTCTCACTCTATAATCTCTTCCTTCTCTCTATAACAAATCGCCATAGGAGATCAGTCACCAACGGCGTCGAAGCCGTTGTGAGACTAGCGCCGCTGCAAAGAAGAGTGGCGAAGGCTGCAAGGGGTGCGATGATGACCTCTGCGTAGGAACGTCGTTACTGCACGAAGATGAGCCGGAAGAAGACGCCGTCGGAGATACGTCTTGCTCTGATTTTTGTGAGCCACTCAGAGCAGCACATGCAACTACGCGCGCCACGATGCCACCGAGCACTGATTGGGTTAAAGAGGTGTTGTTTTGTGATGAAAGCTATGTGAATGGCTTCGCTTCACGACGGGTTCAGATATGGTGTGGTGGTGGGCGTGTTGTGATGTTGTTATGAACGGTGATGTTCGTGGTGTGGTGTTGCCGTGTTGGTGTGATTTTTCGGCATGTTTTATTGCATTTTTTAAATGGTGGTGGTGGTAGGCTTGTGGATTCTTTGGTGGGGGTGGTGGTTGCGGGTGGTGTAAATAGAGATAAAGGAAATGGTGTTGGTAGTAGTGTGCTGCGGGTGGTGTGCTGCGGGCGTTATTTTGTGGTGGTGTTATCGACACGGTGGTGCTCATAATGGTGGTGGCAGGGGGTAGCGATGCTCATGTTGGTGAGGTGATGGTGGTTTTGGAGGCGGGGGTGTCGAATCATTGTTGTGTTGTTGATGATGATGTCGGTAGTGATTGTTGCGGTGGAAGTGATGAGTGGGGGCATCTGTGACCGACAATAGGCATATGTGACCGATAATTAGGCATTCATGACCAAAAATTAGATGTCTGTGACTAAAAAATAATTTGTGATCGATAAACAGTGACATATGTGACCCATAGATATAATGTGACTTGTAATTTGAATGACCCGTGACTTCGAAATGATATGTGATCAACAAAATTTTTTATTTGTGACCACGAAATAATTTTGTTATCAATTAATTTGACGATATGTGACCAATAAATAAACCTGTGATCTATAATTATGAATATGTGACAATTAATTATGTAATTGTGACTTTATTATCTTCATTTAATAAATATTTTAATTAATTAAATATAAACCTGATTTTTGAATTTTTAAAGTATCTATCTGATTTTTTATTTGGGGTAAACTTAACACCTGAGATGTGAACTCTTCCCAAATTTTAAATAGTGATTTGATATTATTTTAATCATACATTTTTCAATGAAATAGTATTACACGAAAATTCAAAAATTTTCTTATTTTTTAATCACATTTTCCATCAATACACTGAAGGGATTGTCACTCATACAACCCTTTTCAAAAATAATGTGACTCAAATAGGGGATAAAATTTAGACCTTTTATTTTTAATTTCGATGTCTTTATAAATGGATGGGTTAATACATTTCAATCATTTTGGATAGTTAGATGAGTTTATACTCGAGCAACTTTTAACATTATGCCAAGTTAGATGACATAAGTAATTCACTATTAGTCGAGTTTAGTAAATAACATTTATTTATTACACCTTTTTGCTTAAAATTAAAATTTCATAAGGGCGTCTTAAATGAGGAACACTAAATTTGATGGTGTGACCTCTCCAATGGTTACATCAAATTTTATTTTGAATTATTTAATTACAAATTATATTATATTAAAAATTATTAAATTAGAAATTATATTTAATGAACCAAAATATTGCATTTATTAATAAATTGAAAAAAAAAAAACACATTAAACATAATATCGCAAATTATAAAAATTACATTGAACACGCAAAAAAAAATTACATATAATGAAAATGAAAACTTGTTTTGTCACTTATTTATCTAAATTAGTGTATTATTTAATGTTTTATTGTACTTTAATTTATGTTTTAAAGATATTTATGTTGTTCTAGTACAAATTTATCATTTATCAAGTATCAAATTTGTAACTTTTGATTTTTTAATTAACAATTTTAATTTATTGTATTCCATAATTATTATTTATTAAAATTAATTGATTAGAATTTAAAATAAATGTTAAATAAATCTAACCATCACATTAAAATAATTATAAATCAATTAAAATATATTAATTCTAAAATATGAAAAAATGATATAGATGAAATTAAACATTTGTTGTAAAGGGAAACGAATGGCAAAATGAAAATTATTGAAAATTCTCAAATTCGGTGTAAGTGAATAGTCGTATATTGGAGAGCATTTTACACCAAATTTTGGTCCTTTATGGGAAGACGTCTAAGGAGGTTAATCACCGGAGTTCCTTTTGGGTGGTGGTGAGGGGCCCGCAGTGTCAAGTTTGAGTAGGCTCCACTCTCTTCACTTGCCGGCCTCAAACTCAAAATGATCATGAGATAGTAATATAAACATTTCCAAGGAAATTTTGCACCTCCGTCGTCAACTTTGTGAAGCAGAATAAATTTATCCTAGATCTTTTCTTTCTTTCTTTTTTACCAAAATTCATCCCACATTTCAATTACGTTATAAAACTTGTCATTTTGAGTAATTAAATGTCATATTTGTCCTTCTCTTTGAATAAAAAAAAAGGTAAAATAAGAAATGTTATAAAGAAGAAGAAGAATTTACTTATTTCACCTTCCCTGATGCAGGAGGATTCGAGTCGAGTGACGCTGATTTGTTAGATAGCACGATGATGGCGCTGAGATACCATAAGATGGCGGATAGGACCAAAGATGGAAAGTGAATCACAATTATTTCCTTAATTGAGAGAATTTGACGCGTTTTTGATAATTTGACCATAACTTTGGCTACGGTTATTGGAATCGCTATTATGACCTCAATTCGGAAAGCTCTCTTCGGCGCGCACGTCGTGGCCACCTAGCTATGCTCGGTGGACGTCAATTTCTAGCACAAAATTCACTGTTTTCCTTTCCAAATTCAATTTTAAGTTATTTTTTTACTATTTATGGTAATATTTCGTTTCTTTTTTTCCATATGTTAGAAAACTCGAATTGAGCCAAATTTTTGGCAACTTACTTCTTTTACTTAATATTTTAGTTTGGTATAATTTTGAAATTTTGCCATTTTTGGCAATTTTCCCATAATTTCGTATTCGCAGCTTTTTAACCTGGCTTGTGGGTTAGTTTTCATGATTCTGCATTATTAATAATATTGAGTTGAATTCAGAGTCTTTTCTCTGGTTTTTTGAGCGTTTTCTGTCGTTCTTTTCTTGCGAATCATCTGCTACAACAAGCCAATAGGATAATCACTATCCTACCCGACGTCATTCCCCAACCTAGCTTACCCATCCCAACCAATTTAATCCAGCCTCAGCCACAACCACAACCAAACATTTCCTTGTTTAACAAATAAAAGGTAGTTGAAATTGTTTATCGTATATAAATTGAAACGAGCCTCGCAAGTGACAATTAAAAAACTCATGAAAGGAGATTCTCATTTTGAAGTACGAAAATGGAAGAGATATCCTATATATTTTTTAGGAATTTCGTCAAATATTCTAATAGTAAGACCTTGAGTTGTGATAGATAGATGCCTTATGAGTAGCATGATTTGACTGCAAAAGGTTTGGCATAGATTGTGGCCTATGTAGACAATGCATCATATTAGGGATATAAATTTGGCTCAACGACTCAAGTGGTATGTGGCTCGGTTGGGAAAAAGTCTACACAGGCTTGACTTGTGGCTCGGAGACAACAAGCCAAGCCCCATTTTAGGGTCTGGGCTCAAGCTCGGGCCATTTCTACACAAGCCGGTTAGTTAAATAAAAAAATTGATAGCAAAAAAAAATTATAAACACATATTTGCTGCCGACAGCAAATCCTCTATTGTTTACAACTTTATTGGCAGCAGATTTGCTAACTTAACAGTCAGCTTTAGCAAATCTGCTATCGCAAGGCAGCTAAAAAATAGCCTGACTTAGCTTGGTAAGGCCCAAGCCAAAAGCTCAGCTTGGCTCGGCTAGGACTCAAAAAAAGTTCACAGCATTTTACTCGAACCGAGCTCGAGCCTGGAGTTTCGCCTAGTGAGTCGACTCGTCTTAGCTCATTGACATACCTACATCATATGAAGTTTTCGAATAAGTGAAGTGATATTAGGTAACACTAAATTCACAGTTGCAATAAGCTGGTGAACAAGGATAAAATCCATCAATCATACTCGATAAGGTCATTTAACCTATGAGTAGGGCATGCAATTGAAGGCGCCAAAAAGAATTGTTTTCCCAACTCATTTTTGTCTATATTTAGGTAAAATCTTTTGTAGATTACTAGTTTGTGGCCATGCAATGCATGGCTTGAATTTTCTTGAAGGTGATATTAGTGTGTTGAGTTACTTGAGTATTGAGTATTCACGAGAGAGAAGCACGTTGAACGAAGTATTGAGTATTCACGAGAGAGAAGTATCGAGTGAATATAGAATATTATGAATTCGACTACCGTATACTCATCGATGAATTTTTAAAGTTAGCTTGTTATCAAAATTTTTAATTTTTTAAATGATGTCTCTTTTGACACTAAAAATAATTTAAAAGTTTATTAAGACATTTTCTAAATGATGTCAAAAATTTTATTAAGTTATTTAAAAAATTAATTTTATAGTAGTAGCGATATATTAATTAAGTTGATAAATTAAAATAAGAAAGAAGGATAAAATGAGAAAATGAAAATAATTCACAAATGAATTTTAAATGGCATATTCATTTTTAGAGTGTAGGAAAAAAAATTTAGGCATCTCTCAGGAGAGATGAAGGAATGGACAAAAGTAGTATATATTTTTTATAGATATTGCAAAAAGGAATGGACAAAAGTAGGAAAAAAATATATAGAAAAAACCACTATTTTGCAGCAATTTTTAACTTTCTAAACATGTAAATCAAAGACTTTGATGAAAATACCATGATATCCTTTAATTTTTAAAATTTTACACCATCTCAAGGATATTTTGGACATTTCAAGCAATTTTTTTTGGCGGCTGCAGTTGTTGTCCCCTTGCTTGCCACAAATTTTGCAGATGTGGGCTCAGTAGACTTGTACAAGAGTAAAAACTTCACAAAAATTTGAGGGTAAAATGGAAAAGTAAAATACGTCCTGAATGAATAGTTACTAGCATATTGATTTTTACTACGGTAAGAGTTACAGTAAATGACTTGTTTAAGTCAACAATGGAAAACAATAAAACAATCGCATTAATTTCATTTTTGTGGATGAACAGTAGAAATAATTAAAGCCTCTTTTCGGTGGAAAAATAATGCTGAGCAAATTCAACTACAGTAGAAATCAATTTAGTGTGAAAACTCTATCTCAAGATGAATAGTAATGTTGACATCCTTTCTTTTAAGGTAAAGGGAATAGTTGTGGGCTTGAGATATAAGTATAGAACTCATCTCATAGAATTTAAATAAAAATGATACTCGTTCAACTATCAAGTAAGAAAAAGTTTACACACCTCTGTACGAGCACGTCTAATGTTGAAATTAATACTTATATGGAGGTTAAATCCTGCTTAAGCTTTCTAGCAGTTGCAACAAAGCAAGATCCTTCAATGGGTCTCAATTGACCTCCAAAACCCACTTCACCTTACCGGGGAACGAAAGGGAAAAAAAGCAAAAGCACTGATAGAAATATGCATTAATTCACAACCCCAGGGTAAAAAAAAATTAAAAATTAAAATCAAGTCAAGAAGACTTGAAGAAAATAAGTGTGGGGAACTCTAAATTTCTGATGAAACAATCCTGCAAGCCATCTTCTCCGTGATCTTGGCTAGGGATTTAAGATTACACCCTATTATAGTATCAGCAAACAGGCAAGTATCTTCCTTACAACTATCAACAGGAATATCCGCAACGTACGACTCAATCACCACTGTCTTGTCCCTACCACTACCACAGCCACTTCTCTTTCCTGTATTCTCCTCATGCAAAGTAGTGGTAGACTGATAATTCACAAGCTTATGATCCCCTCCAATTATACTAAACACCATAACATGCAAATTATCGTCAAGAAAATCCAGCCTTTCCGTGCTGTTTCCGGCAGGCAGGCCAGAGATAACTGTGACCTCCCGTACACTTCCGGCGCAGCCTTGTCCAGCAATCATATTGCAGGTCTTGATGAACCGCTTGTAGGCTTGTGGGTTGTCGAATTCCCGAACCAAAGACCATACTAGAGAGAGTGGGGCGTCTATCGTTTGAATCACAGAGGAAGTGCACTGGTTTGGGGAGACAGGGTGGGTGTGGTATCGGCCCGTCATATTCTCCAGTGCGTTAAGCAGGTTCTGAATTTTTTGCTGGCTCCGTTTGTTATGCATTTGGCCCATTTTGTAGAAATGTAAATGGGTGAAATAGTTTTTTTTTTTTAAAATGAGTGGTTAGAAGAGAAAGAAAAATTTTCGATTTACGTGTAATATTATTGTATGAAAGATTGTGTAGTTAAAAATAAAAGAGGAAAAAAATAAAATGTAATGAAATAGAAATTAACGGGTGAAACGTGTCTTGAATACGGTATCAGAATTTTGGGGATGGAAAGGAGGTTAATAACTACTTAGGCGCCATGGCTGAAAAAGAGACCGCCTTAAAAATCGAACATGTATTCTGAGGATTTGCTTTTATTTTGTCTTCTTTCGTTTTTCGGCAATCTTTATCTTCTATGTCGGTGGCTAACTGTCTACACTGGAATATATTAAAAATTACCTCTTGACTTTTTACACTCAATTTTCTGGAAAACAGATTTTTTTTCCCAAAAAAAAAAAAAAAAAAACGCACAGAAAAATTTTAAATTTATGTTTAAAAATCATTTAATTGAGAGAATCTGTACTTGAAATTGAGATCACGCTTGAGCCACATTCTCAAAAACTCATTTTCAAATTATATATTCTCTCAATAAAATAATTGTGTAAGTAAATATAATTTTTTTTCTCTACTTTTAACCACACATTATCTAAAAAATCCGATTATTACTCTTATATGATTATGCCCGTTATGGGGTCCATTTATATTCGCATATTTGATATGTCGGTATACTAAATACTAGATATTATCAAACACGTCACTAATTAAAAACAAATAGTAACCACAAGTCACAACTTTGTTGTAGGGCCAAAAATAAAAACAAAATTATTGTTTGTGGCTTAAAAAACTTACACATTGATAATGATTTTCTATGAAGCAGGTTTTAAAAGTGAGCTATGTTACAACTGAGCATGCATTTGGACTCCATTTGATTTTGGGAGAAAATGTATTTAAAAATCGTAATTTTTTAGATAATGTGTGACTAAAAGATAAAAAACAAATTTGAATTTACTTATAATGTTATTTTGTAAAAAAATATATGATTGAAAATGAGTTCTGAAAAAAAATGTATCTTAATTTTCATTTTATTTCATTACATTTTATTTTTATTTTTTCTATTTTCAACCACACAATATTTCATAAAATAATATCACGTAAATCAAAAAAAATTCTTTTTTAACCACTCATTTTTAAAAAAAAAAATACTATTACACCCATTTTTATTTCAACAAAATGGGGGCCGAACAGGCCAAAGTGAATTGTCGTTTTCCAAGCACAATATGATCATGTCGCAACGTACAAACCATTTGTCAATTCCCACCAAGAATTAGAAAACCAATTTTACTTTTTGAAGGTACTTGAATGTTAAAAAGAAAAAGACAAAAAAGTAAAAAAAAAAAAAAGTGCAGAAAATGACCAAAATGGATATTAAAGCTAACAAAATTTGAAGAGAAAGAAAAGGAAAGGAAAAGGACAAGGAATCGACAAAGCCGTACGGGCCATGGCAGTATATAAATTCAAGCAGAAGTAACCAGATAATACGTCGTCTCCACCTACTCCCTCATTGCGTACAAGAAAGCCAGGAAAATAATCTACAAACGGTTAAGCAAATTGAGCCTCATTATTGAGGTCGTCTATGTTAATCATTTTCTGACACCCTATTTGGTAATCCTAAGCCATTTCTAATTCTGTACCAAATTTTATATCATTTTACATCAAATTTTATATTGAATATTGCATCAAATTAAAATTCATCTCCAACTATTACACCAAATGAACAGTGTTTAACCATTTTTTTCACTTTTTTTATTCTTTATAATTTATTTATTTGGAATATTATTCATTTAATACTTTCATAAATACATAAATTACTAAATAAATAATTACGTTAAATTACGGAAAAGATTAAATTCACTAATAAATATAAAAAACATAGAACAATTAATAAAAATATTACAACAACGAAAATATGAAATCATGACATCAGAAAATAATACAATGCATTTCGAATTTGGATAGACGATATTACGAAGTCGCTAAATTTTTGCAATTTAATTCTCATAATTCATATGTTCATCCCACAAATGATCAATTAATGTATTTCAAAGTGCAATGTGAGTATTTTTATCCTTGATTTTGTTGGAAAAATTGGTTCTGATTAGTTGGTTTGATCAATTTTTGACCAATTAATTTAGTGGGTCCCGTTAATCGAAAATAAGATTTCTTTGGCCGAATGTGTTCTATTCCATGAGTAGATTAATATGGTATATTTATTTTCTCAAAACCAATTTAGGGTGAATGAGAAATTAAGGCCAAAAGATGCCCATTTGATGTTGAAATAAAATAGGTGGGAAATTGAAAAATACCAATCACACATAGGAAAACTAGAAGAATATAAACCACCTTATATAGTTCAAGTTTGAGACTTGGGTTTGGACCCCAAGGGGTACCAATAGTTTTTGAGGAGGAGAGAACCTACATGCTAGTAGGTTAAGTCAAAGCCCACGCGCGCGCGCCGTCGTCGCCATCCGTCCTACCGGCCGGCTCAGCTCAGCACGGTCACGGGCCACGGGTCTTGGGCTTGGACCAAACTGATATATATTTTTTGGTAAAATAACAATTAATTATATTATTTTATTATTATAATAATAATATATTTTATGTTATTTTTTTTCTTCCCCAAATTTTCTGTGTGTGACACGTGGTAACGGTGCTTCTAGAATTTAGCAAGTTGTGGCGGTTGACTGTCGACTGTCCAAGTGACGGTTGACTGTCCAACGTGGCGGTTGACTGTCAAAACAGTTTGTGTCTTTTGGACATAACTTTTCGGTAGCTGTGTCTGTTGGGACACAATCTTTCAACATCTATAAATAGGCCCCCATACCCCGATTTTTATTCATTCCAAAAATCAGAATTGATTTTCTACTCTCCCGAAATTATCCCTTTGTCCTTGTATAATTTCTGGTTTTATAATTCAGTCCTCGAAAATTACTTTTCGTGCATTTCAGTTATCTAGTGTGTGTGGAGAGATCTAAACTTTACGGGTTCGTCGGGTCTTGTAATTTGGAGTACTACTATTACAAGACGAGGTCATTGTATCTTGGGAAACGAGTGCTGCAATACCGTTAGTACTAGTGCGGGGCATTATCGTTTTAAGGAGAAAGAGTCAAACTCTTGCCTCGACCGTTCAAAACTATCCAAACGTCGTTACTCTGTCCAAATATAAATTATGGTAACACTATTATTTGCTATTATTTTTCAACAATCTTAAAACGATAATGGCAAGTAGTAGTACGTCTGTTGTACCCCCTAGTACGTCCGTCGTACCCCCTAACAATGCTTACAGGGAGAAACCGGAAAAATTCACGGGAGTGGATTTTAAAAGATGGCAACAGAAAATGTTGTTCTATCTCACGCTCTGAATCTAGTCAAAATCTTGAAAGAAAATGCTCCAATTGTTGAGGAGAAGGAAACAGATTCTCAAAAACGAGCAGCATTTGATGCTTGGAGTCATAGTGACTTCTTGTGCAGAAATTACATCCTCAATTGCCTTGACAGCACACTATACAACGTAACTGTTCCGTCAAAACGGCTAAATTACTATGGGAGTCATTGGAAAAGAAGTACAAAACAGAAGATGCCGGATTGAAGAAATTCGTTGTAGGCAAATTCCTGGACTTCAAAATGGTAGATTCTAAAACAATAATGACTCAAGTCCAAGAGATACAACTTATCTTGCACGATATACATGCAGAAGGCATGAAACTCTGTGAACCATTTCAGATAGCTGTAATTATCGAAAAATTACCACCAACGTGGAAAGATTTCAAGAACTACCTGAAACATAAATGCAAGGAAATGGGACTTGAAGATTTGATTGTTAGATTAAGAATTGAGGAAGACAATCGAAATGCTGAAAAGAAGTCTGGAAAGCAGCAAATGGAGGCTAAAGTCAACTTGGTGGACCAAATACTAGCAAGAAAAGGAAGCACCCGAATAATAGCAAGCAAAAGAGCAAGGCCAAGAAATTCAAAGGAGATTGCTATAACTGCAGTAAACTTGGTCATATTACAAAGGACTGCCGGCAGAAAAAGCAAGACAAAAAGGACCAAGTGCACTTGACTGAATAAGACAAGCTGTCTAACGGAGTGTCCGAACTAATGCTCTCGGATGTTGTATTTGAAGCAAACATCGTGGATAATCCGAGAGAATGGTTCGTTGATACTGGCGCTATTCGTCACGTTTGTGCGGATAAGAAGATATTTTCATCTTATACTCCTATCAATGGATGACAACTCTTCATGGGCAACTCAGCAACATCAAAAGTTATTGGTCTAAGTAAAGTAGTGCTGAAGATGATATCAGGGAAAGAAGTAACACTCATCGATGTGCTGCATGTTCCCGATATTCGCAAAAACTTGGTATTCGGAGCTCTTTTAAGCAAGAATGGGTTTAGGCTGGTATTTGAATCTGACAAGTTTGTACTCACCAAAAATGGAATGTTTGTAGGCAAAGAGTACTTAGCCAATGGGCTATTCAAATTGAATGTAATGCCTGTACTCCGTGATTTTGATATTAATAAAAATAAATCTTCTACTTACTTGATTGAGTCTTCTAACTTATGGCACGATAGGTTAGGACATGTAAATGTTAATATATTACGAAGATTAGTAAGTTTAGATTTATTACCTTCACTGTCCTTTGATCAAAATCATCGATGCGAAACATGTGTAGATGCTAAATTAGCAAAAACACCGTTTCATTCAATTGAAAGGAACTCGAATCCTCTAGAATTAATTCACAGTGATATTTGTGATTTAAAGTTTGTGCAAACTAGAGGAGGTAAAAAGTATTTTATTACTTTTATAGATGATTGCACAAGGTATTGTTATGTCTTTTTGTTAAGGAGTAAAGACGAGGTTTTAGAAGCATTTAAACAGTACAAGAATGAGATTGAGAATCAACTAAACAAACGAATAAAAATTGTTCGTAGTGATAGAGGTGGGGAATATGGAGCACCGTTTGATGAATTTTGTTCAGATTCTGAGATTATTCATCAAACTACAGCTCCTTATTCACCTCAATTAA